CACGGCTCGGTCATGGGGCCTGTGAGGCTCACGGAGGGCGGGCCTCCCCACGTTGGAACGGGCAGCGATGTGCCTGTGCCGTTCCCTGTGCCGCCCTGCAGTCCAAGGATCTGTCCCACATGCCATCCCTGCCAGACAAGCCTCTGGGGGGGGGGGCACAGTGTGTGACCTTGGGAAGTGCCTCGCCTTGGCCTTCTCCGGCCTCAGTCTCTCCACCTGCACCTTAGAGAGATGGCCTTTAAAGTAACAGCTCTCCCGGAGGATAGAAATGAGGGTAGCCGCAGGGAGGACAGCTAGTAGAGGGCCTGAGCTGCTTCTGGAGAAGTCTGAGGGGTTTCCCGCCTAGGGTCTTCGTGAGCTTCGAGCTCTTCTTCCTCCCAGTAACACGGCAGCAGACACATAGGGATGGGGTGTGCAAACTTGGGAGCCCGTCTTGGGTTCACTTCCAGCTCTACCATGAATTTGCTGTGTGACCTCCAGGAAGTTGCTTGGGCTCTCTGTGTACACCTCTGCTGTAGAAAGAAGATAATGCTAGTAACTGCTTCGTGCAGGTTGCGTGCAGGTTAAATGAGTGAAATGCCTAATTACTGCTTGGAAGAGTGCCTGGCACATACTGAGTGCTTAATGAACGTTAGCCATTAGCAAATAAAGGCGCAGCAGGCCTGCCGCTCCCGTTTTGAATGTTACACAGGGTCATGGGGCTAGAGGTGATAGCAAGAGGGTGCACAAAAGCTGATCACAAAGTGGTAAGAGACTAACCCTGGCCACCTCGTGCACAGCCTGGCTGTGTGCCGGGCTGCGGCGTGATCCTGTGTGGTCACCGGGGGACGTTTGTTGAAGCCTTGCAGTGCTGTCTCTGAGACAGACATTACTCTTGCTCCCGTTTTACAGATGAGAAAACGGAGGTACAGAGGGCTAAGCTGCTTACCTGAGACCCTAAGGCTAAGAGCTCTAGCAGACGGCCCCCACGTCCACCACTCTGAGTGCCAGGAGGTGGAGTCCAGTTGTCTTCAGATCAACTGCAAAGGCCAACTTCCCAGCAGATCCTAAACCCAGGGGAGAGCCCAGGGATACTGGGTGACCAGGCCATCCTGGGTCACTGTTGTGGCTTGGCTGAAGGAGCCCACTGTCCATCCTAAGGAAGGGAGAGTCCAACCCCAGGTGGTGACGGGACCTGGCCTGGCCATGAGAGGGTCACTGGCAGCTTAGGGGAGTCCAGAGTTGGAGGCAGCCAGGGTGGGGACAAGGAGGAGCAATGGGCAGGACTGGGGTGGCAGACCCCCAGGACGTATCTGGGAGGGCTGTCCTGGGCCAGTAGAGCCAAGCACACAGCCCAGAAAAGCACAAGTGGAGTGGGGTGCCCAGGACTAAACTGAATTGTCCAGGAGTGGGCAGTGCAGGGCAGGGGTAGCGGTGGATGTGCCTGGGGATGCTGAGGGGATTATGCCCTGGAGAAACCACGGGAGGAGGTACCCCAGGTCACCAGCTGAGGTGCGTGGACAGGAAGTCAGGACCTGGGAGCTCCCAGGTTCTGTCCCACCCACCTGCTTGTCCGGGTCTAGTAGGCAGGGGCTGGACTATAGTAGGGAGAACAAGAGCAGGCAACAACGGGCATCCACAACCCTGGGTCTAGCTCCAGGCACCGTGCTGAGAGTCCTCCAGAGCCTTTATTCCTTGTCACTGGGCTGGGGACTCCTGTCTCCTGCTTCAGATCGCTCCCTAGCAGCCTGGTGACCAAGCAGAGGCTGGGGAGTGGGGTGCATGGGGGTGGGGGGCTCTGCTCAAGCTTGTTTTCAGTCCACTGCAGCCTAGAGCAGGGGCCAGCATCCTGCACATCCGGGCAGCCTGTACGTGTGCATGCGCATGCACGGATGTGGGTGCACATGTGTCCACACTTGCCTTGCACCCGTATCTGAATCTGGGTATATCTGATGGCCTCAGTATGCCTGATGCCTTTACAGGGTGAGTACGCTTGTACTATTCCGTGTACCAGGCATGTATGAGCCTCCAAGTCGCCGCCTGCTTGCATCTCGATGTGTCATTGTTCTAGCAGTGTGTGTGCACCCGTGTCTCCGTGAAGGTGTGTGTCTGTGCATGTGGAGTTCTCTGCAGTCCCTGAAGGACCCCACCGTGTGGATCCCGTCATGGGAGTTGTTATTGATACTTGCAGGTGGGAGCCCTAAGGACAGATGTCTCTCTTGGTCACCGTGGATATGGTTTGGTGTGTTTGTGTGTGTGGGTGTCAGAGAGGGAAAGCGAGAAGGAGGAGGAAGAGAAATAGGCCAACCTTATTTCCACAGACTCCTGTGCCGTTCCCCAGACACTCCCCTCCTCTTCCCTGCCACCAGAGCCTGCAGTTAGAGCCCCTGGCTCTTCCGTGCCAGCTGCCTTGATTCCAGTAAAGGCAGAAGCAGAGGTTTTATGATCCTAACTCTGCGTGAGCGTCACCTGGAGACTTAGACAATCCTGATGCCCCAGCTGCCGCTGAGCTTTTGGCTTCTGTTGAGCAGGGGTTACATTTGAACACCTCTCAGGCAGTTCCAGAGGGCTGCCCGGGTTGCGCCCTGGGCTCAGAGGGCAGAAGTGTGGCAGAAGCAGTAAGTGTCCCCTGACAGCACAGCCCCAAAGTGGGGAGTGCCGCTGTGGTTCAGGGTACTGCTAACATCAAGAGCTTCTTCACCTCTTTCTCCCGAGGTGGCCGAAGGTGTGAGAAAACCCACCTCTGAGCTTAGAGGTCTTTGCCTTGTTGCAGCTTCTCTCACCCCTTCGCTAGCCAGGAGCGGTGGCTGCCAGCCCTGGCACA